TACCCATCCACTCAACAACAATTTATGGAGTGCTGCATCTTTGCCTGGTCCTGATTTAGATATGGAGAACACAGCAAACCAACCAACCAACCAACAAACAAAAAACCCCTCAAACCTACATTGAGTCGACTCTGACTCATTCAACCCTAGAGAAGGTTTCCGAGACTGAAAATCTTTACTGGCACAGATAGCCTCGTTTTCCTCTTTCAGGGTAGCTGAAAGAGTTTGAACTGCTGACCTTCCAGTTAGCAACCCAGCAGTGAGGGAAAAAATTTAAAAACAAACAAACAAAAAAACACAAACCTCTACCATTTTGGAAATTTATAGTCTCTAAAGCATAAATATTTTGGAGATTATTTTTCATTTACAATAAATTTAAATCATAGCTACTATATAGCTTATTATATATTCATTCTTATAATTTGCTCTCATAGAGCAAAGTCAATGCTTTTGGCCACACTCAGTTTCACATTCCATTCAGTCATTTTTCAATATGTGAAACTTAACTGTGTTTAACAAATTAGTCCAGTGAACAAAATAGCAGTTCCCAGTAAAATTGCCATTTATGCGAGAGTAAATTCAGAAGGCTGAAGTCTCCATGGTGTTTTACCACGCACACAGATCTGCTTTTATTTTATGTAAGGTTTCAAATGTCCAAGTGATACTTTTAAAATCTGTCTTCCTAAAAGCAAGTTATAACTCAGCGAGGGTCGCACTATCAACAGAAACTGGTAACGGAACCCTGACTTACAGCGCCCTTGGGTGAGGGTTTGAACTTGGGTGACTGGCTGGGATAAGAGCAGCACCTCAAAGAGAAATGCCAAAGTGCTAAGTGGAAGTGGTTGTAGAAAGCAGGGTGACTTGCTTGTTTGCTGCATGCACTGAACTTGAAGTGAGAGCAAGCTGACCCAGCACCGACGACCCGGTTGTGAAGGCTTTAAAACAGGGCTCAGGCAAAATGAGATATGGAATCAGCTGGGAGTCAACTGCAAAAGAGTGAAAGGTGTAGGAAAGAGTAAGGTCTTTTTTTTTTTTTGCGGGGTTTGGATGCTCGGAGAGTAAGAGATCTCAGGAACAGAGCTGAGCTCCAAATCTCCTCTGTTAAACAATCTCTGTGATCTCATCTAATTGTAGAGTCTACTTGGCTAAATAGAAGTGCTCACTATTCATACTCTTCAATTTCAGTCACCCCTGATAGGGAGGCATGATGACGCAAACACAATAAAATAGGGAGTGCTTGAAATAAACAATTAATGAAACCAAATGCTGTCGGGAAAGAGCTATGAAAACATCCTAGGACTGTACGGCAGGCGGCCCTGGTGGAGCAGGGGCTCTGCGGGGCAGTTCACAGCACCAGTGACACCCTGTGTGAGCCAGGAGTCGGCTGCTCCCCCAGGGAGTCTGGAAACCCAAAGGAGCAGCTCTGCTCTGGCCTAGAGGGTCGCCGTGAGTCTGAGTGGCTCAGTGGCAGTGCGTTTTTTGAGGACGATAAAGAAGTTAGTTCTATGGGAAAACTAATTTGCTATCTTTGTAGAGCAAAAAATAAGACTTTTAGAAGCCTCAGAAATTACATGTCGGGTAGCTGAAGGAGTCCCATAAAAGACTCAGACTACATGTTAAGTATAAAACAAACCTATCTGAGAACTTGGGAATGAGCAACTAAAATTTCTTGGCACATGCTCATATTTCTTGAACAATAAAGTTTCAAAGGAATAAACTCACAAATTAAGACCCACAAGATGATGGGTTCTGGGTTGTTGCTGTGGAATATTTAAAGATCATGAGCATATAAACTATTCCTAGAACTCCCAGGGAGACAGAAGCGATGTAAAACTGATGTTTAGAACAATTGAAGCTTTAACATTTTTTGTAGCAAAGAGAAGGAAGGAAAAGAAGGGACACGGTAGAGAAGCTGACTGGTGTAAACTGAAGTTGAAGAACATGCGCAGGATTCTTAGCGCCTCTTAAGAAAACACACAAGCGGAAACTCCCATATCAGTCGATGCACTAAAGACAACAGAGGCTGGATTGGAGATGGATGTGGAAAGATGCTTACGGAGAAGTTGCAAGGAAGAGGTTACTTCACAAGTAGAAGAAGGGTTAAAGATCATGTCTTTGCAAAATTATATAATCTGAGTTCAACCACAGGCTATGAAAAAAACCGCTGAGATCATCTGACTCTCACTCAATGTCAAAGTCTAAAGCTATTAGGAAGTGAATGTTATTGCCTGTGGCCTAATAGTTCCAAGCTAAAGACCAAACTACAAAATGTTACCTTCTGTTACAACATAACCAAATCAGGAAAACACATTTTAACCACTTTGTCTATCTGATCTCAGCAGTTATTTTCAATAAAGCTGCATAAATTTTAAAATCATTGAATATTTGAAAATATATTTAAGGACACATGATGATTTTTTTAACCTTAATTCATAATAGAAAATATATATTATGTAGCAAGCTAGAACTAAGCAAACACACTTTCCAGACCAGATGGCATGCGTATCCATTGCCAATAACATAAGTGGACATTCAAATTTATACTTTCTAAATGAATTATGTATGTATACATGCCAATTAAACAGCACTCTGGTATATATTTCATTATGGTGAGTTCTATGTTTGCTATTATCTGCTGTCCATTATGAATTAAGGTAAGAAAAAGCACCATATGCCCCTAAATATTTTCAAATACTCAGTAACTTTAAATTTTCATGAAGTTTCGTTGTCTTCTAGTTTGTTAGAGGATGTTTCCAGCGCTTCCGAGTGTTTACAGTTGGTGCACTATCTAACTCAGCACTTAGTGACCACTGCTCACGGGGCAGAAGACACTGTACTTAACACCTTAGCTATCATCACAGCATCAGGGTAAAATCCAAAATATTTTTTTTCTTTGTCTCTACTTTTAATTTCTTTGTCAGAGTGGCCTCATACAACGTTTTGTGATTGACTAATTTCACTCAGCACAATGTTCTCTGTGTCTTTCAATATTTTGAAGGGATAAAGTATCCATGTATTTTTTTAAATCATTTTATTAGGGGCACATACAACTCTTATCACAATCCATACATACACCAATTGTATAAAGCACATTTGTATACCCATTGCCCTCATCATTCTCAAAACATTTGCTCTCCACATAAACCCCTGGCATCAGCTCCTCATTTCCCCCTCCCTCATGAACCCTTGATAATTTATAAATTATTTTGTCATATCTTACACTGTCCGACGTCTCCCTTCACCCACTTTTCTGTTGTCTATTCCCCAGGGAGGAGGTTATATATAGATCCTTGTAATCGGTTCCCCCTCTCGACCTCACCCTCCTTCCACCCTCCCAGCAAAATCCTAAATATTTTAACTGATTTAGAATCGTGCAGCAGTGAAGAGGACCCGTGAGTGGGCCCACGTGATCGGATTGTTGTATGGGACACTCTGCAAGGCTTGTGATAAGTCTGCCTGTAAGGACAGACACAAAATGTAGACTGTGGTAGCTGACATGCCCAGAGCTCCCTGATGCTCACATATGTGTTGATGACTTCTTCTATAAAAAGTGGTAGGAAGAAGTAAAATATGAATTAAAAGGTTGCGATACAATTTCTAGTCTTCTTTATTCGTATTTTTCTAATCTCTGTCACTTGGTTTTATCATTGAAATCAAAACCACAGGATGTACAAGGCAATGTTTGGTCTGTTGAGAAAGCCTATTTTGAAGAAGAATACAGAAAAGCAGAGAAAGGGAAAGGTCAGTTATAAAAGTTCATTTGCAGGATAGAGCCATATGGAGCAGTCCCCGGGCAGCCATTTCCTCCCGGAGACCTTAGGCTCACGCTGCGTTTCCTGAGATGGTGCTGGCAAAGCCCATTGACAGCAAACAGAGAAAGAAAACAAAAGCAAACCCTGGTCGCTGCAGACTAAGGGCAGTGTCTACATGTGACACGACACTAGTAGTTTGCTCCTCAGACGGACAGAAGATAATCAGACAGCCTGCACCTGTTTCTGAGGAGCCCTGGGGGAGAGTGGTTGCGCGCGCGCGCGAGGCTGCTAACAGTGGCACCGGCAGCTGCTGAAACCACCAGCTGGTCCTCAGGAAAGAGGAGCCTTTCTATCCCGTAAAGACTCGCAGAACTCACAAGGCAGTCTTACCCTGTCCCATAAGGTCCTCACAAACTAAAGTAGACTCGGTGGCACTGAGGCTGCTTTTTGGCTTTTGGCGTTAAAGCTTTTCTGAGACTTCCTCTTGTAGGTCACTAAGAATTTAGGATTGTTATTATTTTGCTTTGTTTTACACATTCTTCAGACTGTTGTGTAAGCTGAACACTTTAAAATATAAATGCATCTATTTAGATAAAACACAGTACAAAAGTTTAAGTTCAGTAAAACATTCGATATTTATAAACATCTAGAATTGGAATCATCACCTTAGAATTATAAGTAATCATTTGGTGCTTCCTTCCCCCCACTATCATGACCTCAATTCTACCTTACAAATCGCATTAGACCAGAGCATGCACACTGCTACAGATAAGAGCCCGTAACACAGAGAGTCCAGGATAGCTAAACCCCCTCAAGGTCAACAACGAGAGTAGAGATACCAAGAGGATTTGGGGAGGGTGTGGGGAGATAGGAGAAATTGATCACAAGGATCAATCTAGAACCCCCTCCCAGGGGGATGAATAAGGAAAAGTGGGTGAGGGGTGATGGAGGACGAGTTAAGATATGGGAAAAATCATCTATAACTTATCAAGGGTTCTTGAGGGAGGGCAGGCAGGGGAGGGTGGGGTAAGAAATGGGGAGCTGATATCAGGGGCTCAAGTGGGAAGAGAATGCTTTGAAAATGATGATGGCAGCATATGTGCAAATGTGCTTGACACATTGGAGGAATTTATGGATTGTGATAAGAGATGTAAAAGCCCCCAATAAAAGTATTTTTTAAAAAGAAAAAGAAAAAAAGCTTCTTTAATTAGCATTCATGAAAAAAAAAAGAATCTCAGGCTCATGATATTATGGCTATTAATATTTTATAAAAAAACAAAACAAAACACTCTTGTAGACATTCAAATTCGAATGTTTCAAATTTGCCCAAGGCACGTGAGAGTATTTTATATATATTCAATCAATAATTTCATATAAAATATAATACCCATTAAGGATAACAATAATTTTCATAAGATAACATACAGTAAATATAAATTTAGGAACCAAATCAATGGCATTTTTTTTTTTTTGGAGGGGGGAAGAGGCAGAAAATAATTCTAGAATTATTATCTGGATACCAGGGAACATGGTGGCCACTTTTCCGAATTATTCGTACAGGATTTTGATGAGTTTAGCTACTATGTGCACATTGAGACTATTTCCAAGGAGGCGATAACGCTGTTTCACTGTTACATTCTCTGGAAATCCTGCAACAAAAAGATGGTAATTTATAATACAATCATTTATAATACTAATTTCCAGATATAGACGTATACATCCTTTAATTAGAGCATGCATAAACATTTACAGAAATAAGTCCTTCAGGTATACAAGAACTTCAGTTAACTACTGAGAATTTTGCAGCCCAAACTACCATAGAATTTTACATTGCCTATATAATGTGATTTTATTATCTGACATTACACAATTATCATCGCATGCTCAGCACACACACATATATACAAAGAACAACCAGAGCTCAGAGAAATCCACTTCTCAGTGCACTTGAGGAGAAAGAGTGGTTACCTTTATTCACAATTCTTTTTTTAATAACACTTTTTAAACAGTGGTGACTATATTAAAGCTGTATTTAAAATAAACATGGTTATCTCTTGCTGTTCTAGGAAATATAGGCAAGCACACTGCTCACTGCTACTGAAAAAATGGTCTCGTCCAAAGTAGCAAGAAGGTCAAATGTCTCCATAAACAACATTCTGTTTATTCCAGGGATAATCTTTCATGAGATTAAGATTACATGAGAAGAGAAATGCTTTAAAACAAAAGGACAGATTTGTAAAAACCACAGGTCCATGTTAAAATAGAAATTCGGAAAAATTACATGGTTTAAGCTAACAGGCGATTCTTTTAAAAAAGTAGGTGCATCAAAAATAATGAAAATTCTCTTCCTCAAATACAAAGAAAAGGAATTAAAAAGGTCCAGAGAGGAGTTTTCACCCGGGAGGTTAGGGTTCCTCTATTCCAAAGCCTGGCATCTCACACCTGAATGCCATCTGTCACAAGGGGACCAGAACAAGTGGTACAAGGGACGGAGGTCAATTCCTCATTACCAGTGGACAGACAACTCAAACAACGCTCCCTGTGGATCCAGAGTCAATGATATCAAAAGCACACATTACGGACAGTTCACCTTGAGGTAAGTTGACTATAGCACATTTCAAAAGAAATTGAAGTTAGCAATGGCTTACTTTTATTTACTATATATATCTTCAGAAAACTGAGTAACTTCTTCCCACTTAAAATTCAAAATCAACGAGAAAAATATTTACAATATAGATTACCAAGGCAAATAAATGTCTATCATTTAAAATTTTTTAAAGCTCAGAATAAAATCTTTGACTATGTGTCAAGCATTTGGCATAGACTGCTCTATTTTTACTATCAAAACAACTCTATGAAGTAGGTGCTAACATGGTCCCATCTTACAGATAAGTAAATCGAGGCAGAAACAAGTTAAACTAGAACTAGTTTTCCAACTGAGGCATCCTGGCTCTCGGGTTTAGCAAGTTGCAGTGTAATCAAAGTGGCTTGACAAAACAAGCACCCCAATAAAAAACTGACAAATACATTAATTAAATGTGTTTATGAGACAGTCAGTCTCTGTTCTCACTTTATAAAGTATTATGTAAAGTACCTCTGATTGCTTATTCCCTGAAAAACATAAACAGGCGGGGAATTACAGCGCTTTAGCTCAGAGTTCTGCTCTTTATTTATGGGATGTTCTCATTCCCTTTGGGAGAGACAAGGGAAGTCTGTGTTTTTCTTAATAACACTCGTCGGTCGGGATGTCTGGGACAGGAAAAAGGAGGCCCAGAGAACAAAATAAACTGGTTGCTGTGACAACTGCAGGAGCATCAACTATCAGGAGGGTGGCCATGTGTACCACCAACGGACACAAACGTCCCCATTGTACGAAAGGTTACATTCCCAAACCTCTTCTTTAGGTCATTTACCAATCATTTGAAATATCTGTTTAACCCATTGCATACTTCAAGAATGTAACTAAAATCAAACTGCTATCGAGTCGATTCCGACTCTCAGCTACCCCACAGGATGGGATAGACCTGTCTCTGTGGGTTTCTGGGAAGGTCACTTTTTTTTTTAGTTGGGATTTGATCCATACAACATATCATTCCCAATTTCAAACACGCCAAGTAGAATTGTGCAATTGCGACCACAGGTTCCAATCATCCTTTTTCTATATGGCCTCCTTGACATCGTCTCCCTTTTACCCCCCAGCCCAAGACTGTACTCCCCTCCCCCAAGCCCCTCATTCAGCTTGCTGTCCCTATAGGTTCATCAATCCTGGGTTTCATATTCCAGAAAACATATAGCACAGCTTCAAGACGGTGGCCTCCATTGACATAATACCTGAGATACACTAGACTCTGAAGGAACAACAACCAATCAAAACAATACAAACCAAAAATACAGAAAAATTTGGAAACCAGATCAGGGCCAGCCTGCATCATCGGGCAGATCTATTGACATAATTATAACTGTTGAGGTCGGATTGATGTCTTTGATCTCTACAGGAATAGAAAGGTGCAGCTGGTGGTTTGGGACTGCCGACCTTGTGATTATCAGCGCAGAGTGTAACCATACCCCCCAGGGATCCCTACTTCCAGAACAGTACTGTGTTAATATTACAGCCGCACTGGACATAGTAAGTTGTGCTTCTCTGTGCAGGGAAATCCATTCAACTCAATCCATTCAAACTTTCATATTAATCCCTCCTACATATGTTAAGAAGATCTATCCTTCATCCTTTCTAGGAACCAGGCACTGGGAGCAGCCCCATGCCCAGTGCGGATGCACTGGTGGGGCTTTGCCAGCTGAGCGCACGGGCACATTGCAGTGAACGCAGTGGGGCTGCAAATGGAGGTAAGGTTGATCTGCTCACTCCACTGCTTCACATTCCATTTTTAAGATTTCTGGCTTCAGATCTTTTTGTCAATTCAAGATTTGTGTTCCTGATTTGACCTCTCCTTTCATTGCCTTGAGAAC